GTGATTCCAGCAGGCTGTAGTGGTTCCTCTGAGTGGGGCCTTGAAATCTTGAAATGCAGAAGGAACATGAGGCTGTCTTTGGGTAACTTCATGCACCTGACTTGGACAGAACAGAGCCCTGGGCTGACGGGCTCTGGGGCCCGAGGGAGACCATACAACAAAAGCCTGCTGACTGCAACGAAAGGTGCAGCAGGGTGGTCTCCAGTGCCAGCCTTCAGATGCAAGCAGGGCAACGTGGGCCAGTCCCCTTGGGGCCATCTCCTCTCTCTGGCTGTGCTGGCCAGAGCTTGAAAGAGCCCAATGCCTAACTACAGGCACCTCCTGCCCTGGTGCAAGTGTGTGGGAGAGAAGAGGCTTCCAACATCTTGTTTCCACCCAGCACAAAGCTGGGCAGCATTTGGCCCTTTGTCACTGACCGTGATGTGACCAGACAAGGGGAACATTGACCCTGAAATCCAGTGCTTCAAAAAGGAGCAGAGCCTGACACAGAAACTGAGCACTTTGCAGGCTGCCACCACTGCCCCGGAGTGGGTCGGCATTTATGATTTATGTGCCACAATGGGTGGTAGCTCTAGGGATGCTTGTGGGCAAGCTGAGCTCTTCCCGCATGCTGCAGGTTGAGTTCTCCAAGCTCCCACCCACTGAGCCCTTGCCAGCTGGAGCTTGACTGGCCGACCCCCTTGCTGTTGGGTCGTTTCCCCAAGTGGTGTTAGGACCAGCTATGTGTGGGTTCTGGGGCTGCTGGAGCACCTGTCCCCCAGGCGCCCTGGGGCAATTTCCCCATGCAGGATGTGGTTGGAGGCTGTTCATGCCATTGCCTTTCATAGACTCATAGAAGTAGCGTCGGAAGGGACCTTGTAGATCTTCAAGTCTGAGCCCCTGCCTGGGCAGGAGAAAAACTGGGCTCAAATGACTCCAGCCAGGTAGGCATCAAGCCTCTTCTTAAAGCCCCCCAGGGTAGGAGCCAGCACTACTTCCCTTGGAAGTTGGTTCCAGATCCTAGCTGCCCTGATCGTGAAGTCGTTCTTGCGGATGTCTAATCTAAACCTCCTCTCCAACAACTTGTGGCCGTTATTCCTTGTTATGCGGGGGGGCGCTCAGGGAAACAGGGTCTCTCCCAAACCCTTCTGGTCCCCCCCTAGTGAGTTTACAGACGGTCACCAGGTCCCCCCTCAGCCTTCTCTTGTGAAGGCTGAACAAGTTCAGGTCCCGCAGTCTCTCACTGTAGGGTCTGCCCTGTTGTCCCCAGATCACGCGGGTGGCCTCCTCTGGACCCTCTCCATGTTGTCCACATCCCTCTTGAAGTGCGGCGCCCAGAACTGGACGCAGTACTCCAGCTGCAGCCTGACCAGTGTCTCATAGAGGTGGAGGATTGCCTCCTTGGACCTGCTCGAGATGCACCTGTGGATTCATGACAAGGTCCGGGTAGCCCTGCCAGCCGTGACCTCATGTTGTCGGCCCATGTTCACCTTGGAGTCAATAATGACTCCAAGATCCCTTTCTGCCTCCATGCTCTCAAGAAGGGAGTTTTCCATCTTATAAGTGTGCTGCT